CTGGAGACCTCTTTCCAATACTGGTTATCCAGCCATGATCTACCTAACTTTCTCTCTCCTTTATTTTGGGTCTAGTTTACTCTATTTACCCTTTTTCGAATCTCCCCTTGATACTGTATTTCCCCATTTTCTCATTTGCTTCTTTGCTGCATTTCTTGAGAGTCTAGTCTGCACATTCTCACATATCATCCAAAAGTGAACTGGATAGTCTGGCTTCTGCCTTGGCTCCTTCAACAAAACTGTTCTCACAAACATCAGTAACAACCTCAGAATTGTCAAATCTGTGGATTCTTTTCTGTCTTTGTCTTATTTAATTTCATTTCTGCATTTAGCAGAAATCACTGCCTTCTGTAAAAGCTCTATTCCCATGATATATCATAATCCCAGAAGGTGACTCTTCTAGATCTTTCCTAACTCTGAGCATTCCTACTCAGTCTCTTTAGGTGGCTCCTGTTCTTGCACCTGCCCCTAAAGGCCTCAGCTTTCCACCTGTAGTCCTATCTTCCTTCTTTTTATTCATTCATTTGCATGTTTGCTTATTCAAAATAAGTGACACTGAGCAACTCTATTACTTATATTAGATGCAAATAATATTAGATGGTAAGATACCATCTATGTAGAGATGTAGCATAGTCCCTGTCTTTCAGAAGTTCAGGCTAAAGGTCACAGTACAATTGGTAAGAGCTTCCACCTCGGAAGGGAGGAGAGGTATGGAAAAGATGCTAAAGGAGCCAAGAGGACTGAGCCACCTACAGAGAGTGGAAAGATTTGGATAACACTAAAATTAGTCTTAAACTGGTAGCAGTGGTGCACACCTGTAATCCCAGCAACTCAGGAGGCTGAGGCAGGATTGCAAGTTTAAGGCCAGCCTAGGCAAGGTACCCAGTTTCAAAGAAAATTTTAAAAGGGTAGGGATGTAATCCACTAAGAAAAAAAAAAAAAAGCCTTAAAGGATGAGTAGGAATTTACTAAACTCTCTCAAAAAATCTCCTATTACTGCAACATTCTTCTGAAATTTTCTCATTCTCATTTCCCTCCTTGCTTTTTCCCTTCCCAAACTATTCTCCACACTGAGCATACAGAAGTCTTTCCACAAGTACAAATCTGATTCTTTGTAAAATTCTTGATGGTTCCTTTTGCCTATTGGATGAACTCCCAACTCTGGAGCGTGATATGCAATCTGTTTTACTAATCTGACCTCTGGCCAGTTTGTCTCTATGCTTGGCAGGTGGTCTTGTGCCCCATAATAGGGTCTATCCGTTGACCTTGAGGAATCCAGCATACAGAAGGCATTCTCCCACACTGGCTGCACTTACTCATATGAGCTCAAAGTCATACCTGATGGCCTCCCATATAGCTCTGAGCAGTCTTCCTCTCCCACTGCCCACATCTCTACCCCAGGCTGCAGCAAGGCCCCACAGCATAGGCAGAGAACAGGACAGCTGTTGTCCAAAGGAGAAGATCAGAAAGGAAGAATCTGTAAAGCATGAGCACAGAATAATGGGCTTCATGAATACTTAGCATAAGGAAGAGAGGGGGAAAAAAAAATCTGTGTAGCAGGCAGTTTTTGTAAAGCGTTGAACTGTACCACACATCACCCCCTGACAGGCCCTGATGTTAGCTCCTGGAATGGATCACAAGAGACTCATTAGAAAAAACAAATATTATCGCACGCTGAAATGATTTATGGAGAAAAATGAAAAATTTTGTGTGGTTGCGTTCCCTCTCACTCACTCCCCCTCGCCTCTGCCTTCTTATGGGGAAGTTATTTATGGCTCCAGACCCTTAACAAGAGAACAGCAAAGCTCTGGGCTGATCACTCCTGCAAACTGCCTACATTTGATTTTTATTAGTGACTTAAAGCTTCCTTTTTTTTCTTTATTGTCCTGGGTGAACCAAAATGCATTTTAATGCCTGCTATTCAGGCCAGACAAGAAATGTGTATATGCCTCCCACACAAGCCAGCCCATTCAGTGTCTCCGTCTAGAACTGAGGGTGATGAAGAAGGAAGAGAAGAGAAAGACCAAGCTTATGGAGAAGGCACATCAGGTGCCATGATCAGGAGCACTGACTACACATCGCCCTTGGGTGGGGGCTAGACCCACAGATTGATCGGAGTAAGTTTCAGACAAGGAAAGGAGATGGTAATTACCACTTATCATGTTGTTTGCAAAATGGCAGACATTAGGTGTTTCCCTTAAATTATTTCACTTAGTCTTCCTAACAACTAGGAGTTAGGCATCCTTGTGCTCATTGTATAGAAGAGGAAACTGAACCTCAGAAAAGTCAAGAAGCTTATCCAGAGTCACACAGATATAATATACACAACTGTGTGTATTTTTATGTTCTACTGTGTTCTGAATCATCTCCCAAGTTGGAGCATGATGTCTCTAGAATCGAAACTTGTCAGACCTATTTCACAGTCCCATTTTCTGGACTGGTCATCATCAAATCTTTGATGGGAGGTGCTGCTTCTCAAGGCAGCCGAGGGCCCTGGGGATCCTCGTGACATCTGGGTATCTCCCGGTTGGCCAAGTGCATTTGTATTCCAGTTGTCTTGCCCTGAAACATTGAAGCTATGTACATCCCTCTTACCTTGCATCTCCTGGGTATAGTTAATTTTATAAAATCAAATCTTTTTTTATTTTTTATTTTATTTTGGGACAGAGTCTCACTAAGTTGCTGAGGCTGGCCTGGAACTTGAAATCCTCTTGCCTCAGCCTCCAGAGTTGCTGGGATTGCGGGCATGTGCTACCACTCCTTGCTCATAAACTCAAACCCTTAGAGATTCTCTTGAGAAAAAATTTAACTTCTGAAGTCCCCCAGGAGGAATGTGTCCTTTGCTATCCTCATTGTGATAATCAGGACGCACTCTACAGGGGTTCTGGGCATTACCCAGCAAACTGTGGTTGGGCCTGTCCGTCCAGCCTCTGTGGTCATGGACCTCTGTCCCCATCTCTTGTCCTCTCGGCTCTCTAGTCTCTCCAGTTGCTTCTCATACTTACGATGCCAGCACTGGCCAGGAACAGAGTGGGCACCAGTGCAGGCCCCAGTGTACAATAACCACCATTCACGTTCCTGTTTCTATTCTGATTCATCAGTGGGTTCCTACTGTTAATCAGACAGTTAATAAAGATACACAAGAAATCTCAGTGACAGGAGCTAACCAGGTCTTTCATGTGTAGACAGGTGCCACAATTCCAAGGTTATAGCCTTCCTGGGGACATCAGTGGAGGGTTACAAACTGAGCCTCAAGTGACTAGCCTTAGAAAACATCCTGCTAATGCCTCTGTACTTTAGGTGGCCCTAAGGGAGAGGGAAGGTGTCTTGAGCGGAATGGCCACCAGGAAACAGGAAACTATGACAGAGGTGACCTGGGAATCATGGCACAATCCCAGCTCTTCCTAATCTGCACTTTCTTCTCCACAGCTTTTCCCCAGGGGAAGCTAGGGTCCCAGGAAGAGAGGATGGTGTTACTGACAACAAGGGGTGAGGTCCCTATGCAGGCCATGGGGGCTGTACCTCTTTGTGACCCGTAACTCACTTTGACATCTGAACAGAAGGAAGCGCTGCTGAGGAAGGAGCAGCCCATCCTCCCTACCCCCCCCCCAACCCTGAATTTAATTCACAGGACAACAGGGAGCTCGGCCTTGGGACATTGCCAGCATTTCCCCCTGAACCCCTGAGAATTTTGGCAAATTGGGCTGGGTCAAAGAACCTGGAGGAGGAGCAAAGGAGAGCTGGAGAAAGGAGTGGGCACCCTGAGTGGGCACCCTGAGTGGGCCTGGAGTCTGGAGGGGCTAAGCCTCCCAACCCCGCCTCAGCCCCTCCCAGGCGGGCTCCAGGGCCAGCCCACTGGGCCTCATTCCTGGAGGGCCTGTCTCTCGGCAGGGTTGCTAGGTGCGGTGAGCCGGGTTCCTGCCACCGGCTGGCCAAGGCTCTGCCTGGAGACCATTGGGGAGGCTGGGAAGAAGGAGCTGCATTATTTGGTTGATCCCTCCCTCCCTCCCCCAGCCTCAGCACAGTGAGCTTTCCGGAGGGATGGTTATGAGCCAGCCCATCCCCAGGCCTTCCTCTTTGTGCAGAGACCTCCCCATCAGACCCCCCACCTTCCCTTCGCTGGCTGCCCCCCTCCCCCTTCCCTCCAGTTCAGCAGAGCCAGAGTTAAGCCCGGGGTTAATGCCCAGTGACACCTGCAGGTTGGCTAGTGTTGTTGACATGAGGGTGGGGGGAGGGGAGGGGGTGATGGGGGAGATCGTTGGTGGCTTTATTATGGAGAACTCAGCAGGCCTGGGGCCTTCTATTGTCCAAGTGGCAAATAAATAAATAGGAGAAAGTAAGTCTTCCCCATGGCTTACCAACGGGAGGTTAACAGCTGGACATGACATGACAAATTGGGCATTTTTCTTTGGGGACTGATCCTTACAGCAGCTAGCAGGGAGAGTGAGAGAGAGAGGGAGGGGGGGAGGGAGGAGAGAGAGAGAGAGAGAGAGAGAGAGAGAGAGAGAGAGAGAGATGGCAGTTAGAGAGAAAGCGAGCCAGAGCACGAACAGTCTCATCACAGAAGTCCACATTGAAGCCTTGAATACGTGGACATGACTGCATGACTGGGGTGCAGGGAACATGGCAACATTTTGGACCTTAAAAAAAAAAAAAAAAAGCAAAACAAGCTACCTCCGGAGTAAATCCCAGAGCCTTGGCAGCTGGATATCTGGCTGTAGGGGGAGATGCCCCGGGAGCTGTCACCATGGATGCCTTACCTCTTCTGCCAAATGCAAAACCAAAAGATGGACACCAGTTCTATTCTAAAGAATCCCTTCCCTCCAGGTGGGTGGTGGAGCAAGCAGCCTAGCTCAAGCCTGATTAGGAGGCTGTCTCTTGCACCAGGTTCAGTTGACTGGAACTGGTCCAGGCTGGACAACAGCGCCGCCCACTTGTCTTTGTAGCTGGGGTCAGGAAGGAGCTCTCCCCTGACCCTGTACCACCTTTCTCTTCTTTAGGCAGTGCCCAGCAAGAGGCCTGGAAGAGCAGAGGAAGTAACCCCTCCAGAACAGTGGTCTCTGTTGCCCACTGCAAATTGAATTCAGGTGGGAAACAGGAGGGATGGGAGACTGCTCATCTCTGCCAGGGACCTGTGCCTGGAACTGCAGCTGTTAAGCCGAGGGCAAATGGCCATTGTGTTCTGCCAAGGCAGCAAACTATGGCAGCCAATAGCTTGTGGCCTGGAGTCAATAGGCCTGAGATGGAATCCTGTTCCTCTTGACCCCCCAGTTGTGACATGCTATTTAATCTCTCTAAGCCTCAGTTTCCTTTAGGTAGAATGGGATAATACTACACCTTCCACCTAGGCCACTGTGAGGTTTAAATGAGTTAATGCATGTGAGTGCTGAGTGCAGCGTATGATAGATCCTTTATAAATGCCACTTGGTACTGCTCTGGGGTTAGCCAGCCTTTTCCTCCTCCATGTTGCCTTGTGCTTTAATACTGACGGGAGGACCCTATGGAACTGTCTTGTGGCGTGGGAGGGAAGCACACAGCCAGTTCAATTCATAGAAGTTACATCTCCACCACCTCCAGGCTAAGCATGGATTAGTCCACAGCCCTCATGGAACCCTGCCTGGAAGAACCACCTCTTTCCATTCCTCTTTCCAAAGACAGTGGCTGCAAGGAGAAGCTTTGCTGCCAATGATTCTGCCCTATGCCCACTCCATGAGGGAAGCCTGGCCAGATTACCAAAGGTGTTCAGAGGGAAGAAAAGATTCCTGACTTTCAAGAGCATTTGTTTGAGTGTTCATCTTGAAAACAAACTCTCCATTCTCCCTCTGGGACCGGAGAAAAACCACAGGAAAATAGTGAGAAAAAGCTGAGTTAATTAATTCATCTAAGAAATGCTTATTGAACATGTACCAAATATCAACACAGCTCTCTGTCTTGGGAATAGAGCCATAAACAAAGCAGGTGAAAACCCCCTGCCTTCAAGGAGCTCACACTGCAGATCTCCAAGATAGCAAATGGATCCCTCAGAGTTGTCTCCATCCTTCCATGGGCTCCTCAGCGTGTCGATGGTCTCATATGTTCTTTGCACTCTTCCTGTTGGATTCAAATCAGGCTTCCCAGGAGAGGGGACCTGAAAGATGTGCAGGACAAGAGAGGAGAACTTTCTCTTGTCCTGCACAACATAGGTACCTTAGGGAGGGAGGGCAGCTGCTGATAATTCCTGGAAGCATCACTGGGGGAAGTTTGAGAGGAAGAGGAATGTGCAGAATGAAGCCACCATATATTTCATGCATATTCCATGTCAGAACTGCCAGGCACTTTACTTAGGTTGTCTAATTTCACCCTTGCAGGCACTCTGCAAGGCAGTTCATATTATCCCCCCTGGACACTAAGATTCAGAGGAGGAAGGGACTCACCCAAGCTCTTTAGCTGGGAAACGTCAGAAATTGGATTTGAATCCAGAGCCTTTGTTCTTTCTGTACAATCCCCCATACTGGTTTGCTGGAGAGAGGCTGCCAGAGGGCTCAAAGAGGAGGCAGGCGCTGGGAGAGCTAGCCAGAGCAAGAAGTGTCTAAAGGGCAAAGGAGAAGAGAAATCAGGCAGAGGGAGGGTTGAAGACGGGTGAGACCTCGGAGGCTTGCTACACCAGCATACTGCCACTTCTTCATTAGAACGCTCCATTATGGCCCCTACTTTGTGGCAAATCCCACTCTAGGAAATGAGGGGCTACCTGAACCTGAGAGAGACAGGAACTAGTCCTCTGAAGAGCCTTGCCAGACCCTAGAACCAAAGGGGTGGAAGGTTTAGAGAAAGGTTTGAAAGGTGTAGGACTTTAACATGTGACAAAGAGGAATTGCATTCACCGCCGGATGGGCATCTGGGGCAGGTTGTGGAAGGAATTGGGGAGTCACTCTCAGCCTTGGTTGCTCTGACCATTCAGCCTCCTTATGGCTAGTACCAAAAAGCCAAACCCTACCCTCCCCAAGCAAGCCCAACGACTTGACTCTGGTGCCCAGGTCCAGCCTAGAGTTCCCATGGCCAGGGCTTCTACCTGGAGAATCACCTGCACCATAATGATCTGAGCAGGAGCCACACAGCTTTCTTCTTCCAGGAAGTCCCTTCCCCCAGCCCCTGCTACTCACTCCCCTATATAATATTCCACGTTAGAGCTCATAAATGCTGCTGCGGGTCCCCAGCCTGATTGAATTTGGAAGCCATTGTTTACAGACGTCTGGCTGTACAGGGGGATTTATTGAATTTTCCATGAAATGTTGCTCCCCTAATGCTGTAAAAGGCAAGCAGCCCACATCAGAGGAGCCCTGCGTTACAGGATCATGTTACCCCGAGATGGAGTGCTTGCTTCACAGTCGTCATGCACCAAGCTCTGGCTCTGGGCAGGCAGGAGGGACTTCAGAAATCACACCTGACTCCTCCCTGACACCCCAAAGCTTGGACTTCTGAACCAACCTCTGCCCCTCCATTTCCCATTCCGTTGCAGTTAGGCTAAAAACCCTGGGGATACCATCTCGAATTCTCCCAAGTCCACTCTCCTGCCCATCCCACTTGCTGCTGTTGTAGTTCAAACTATGACATGGACATCGCTGCAGTCACTGCTCTGCTCCTACCTGCAGCCTTTTCTCACCTGCCCTATGCCCTGCATCATACCCCGCAGGGCACATGACATATAGCAGGTGTTCAATAAACAAAGGAAAAGAAGGAGACAAAGTAGAAAGAAAGGAATAAGGAACTGAGGTGTTCATGAGTGTCACTGGTTGAGACATTTCTGCCATCACCCTTCCCCTTTATCGAATCTGTTCTTTTGAAGGTCATTAATCTGAATCCCCAAATCCATATTAGACCTCACCCCTCAGCATCTCTGACCCTGCTGGTCACCTTCCTGAAATCCTCTAGACCCACTGTCACAAGAGGCTGTAATCTGTGGACACAAGAGGCCCCAGGACAGGGGATAGCATAACCAATAGCCCCTCGAGAGCCGAAGTGGAGATGTTCTTGTGTGTACCACAAAATGCAATCAGACCAAGTTTTCCTATGTTAAAAAGCACATCCTTTAAACCCTCACACTCCTTGAGCTTCTATCCCCTTCACTGCCTCATTGCTCAAAGGTTTATTTATATTTAACCAGCTCCACTTCTCACCCCCCGGCTCATTTCTGCCATCACCCTTACCCTTTATTGAATCTGTTCTTTTGAAGGTCATTAATCTGAATCCCCAAGTCCATGTTAGACCTCACCCCTCAGCATCTCTGACCCTGCTGGTCACCTTCCTGAAACCCTTTTCTCTCCCAGTGTCTCTTGTACCACGCTCCTGGTTCTCCTTGCTGACAGTTCCTTCTCACTCTTCACCCTCCTCCCATCCTAAATAACAGGAGGTGTTTCCCAGTGTTCTGTCTTTGACCCTCCTCCCTCAGCATGCACTTTAATCTGATGAGCTCATCTGTTCCTACGCTCAGCTATCATCTTTATTTAGAGGACTCCTGCATATAAAACTCCAAATCTGACCTCTTATTGCTCTGCTCCCATTTTTCCAACTGCTTGGTGAATGTCCTCAGTGCTATGTCCCATAGACATTTCAAAATTGAATCCATCCTCTCACCCCCACCCTCATGATAATGCACCTTCAATAGGCCTTATTTCTGTTGATGACATTATCATTCTCTCAATTACTCAATCATGAAATCTTGAAGTGGTCTTTGGTATAGATGCCCTAGACCCACGTACCTACTGCATACTGAATAGCTCTTAACACAGCCATTAGTACCCCCAGCACACACACATGAACACACAATTTGTTCTCTTTCCTTTATTTCCTTGCTAGCATGAACAGGTCCACTATCCTCCCAGGAACCTAAGCCAAAAACCTAAGCATCCTCAGTCTTTTCTCTTGGCCTCCTATCCCCGTGTCCCATCAGTCACTAAATCCTATGGGTTCATTATCATCCTTTATTTATGGCCCTCTGTCTCCAGTGACTGGTACTTACTTTGAGTCCTCAATACAGTTTATCTCACTTATGTTGTCTAAAAGTCCTCCCAGTTGGTGTTCACCGTCCGGTCTCTCCTTTCCATTCATCCTTCATCTGCTATTAGCATGATCTTGCTAAAATGCCACTCTAAAACCTGCTTAATCCTCCAATGGCTCCTCACTGCTTCCACCATGATAACCAAGCTTCTCCACTGACTCTTAGCATTTGCACATGCTATTCCTTTACCTGGAATGCTCTACTCCCCTCAAACCTTCCATCCTAACCCCTTTATCCACCTCCATTTGATATTCTCTGATTTTTTTTTTTTTTTTTTTGGTTCAAGGGACTGAGCCCAGAGAGAACTAGACTGAGCTACAGTCCTAGCTAGACTTTTTACTTTTTATTTTGAGACAGAATCATGCTAAGTTGCCTGGGCTGGCCTTGAACTTATAACCCTCCTGCCTCAGCCTCCCCAGTAGTTGGGATCACTGGTGTGTGCCACTGCACCCAGCTTCAATCATTCTTTAAGACCCAAGGTCCTATTCTTTAAGACTCAAAGATCCTATTCTCTATGATGTTCTTCCCAATCCCTCCAGGCATAAGTGAGCCCTTCATTCCACTAAACCTCTCCCAAATTTGTTCATACCACTTCAGAACAGATAGGATGTCGCTGTATGACACGCCATGTTCCCCAACGTTTTGGGGCTTCCATATCCCCAACACCTAACACAGGGCCTTGCAGGTAGGAGGCTCTGAACAGTTGTTCAATGAAGATCACTTTTAAGTGAAGGAGGTACAACATACACAAGGGACTTTTCTCTCTACAAGTGGGATTCTTTCTCCACCTTTTCTGAGGCTCTCAAAAAGGGTAGATTCTGTCTTGCCTCACTGTTCCTAGGGTGAGTCCCAGTGTTTGGAGTTGTATGAGATTTTCACCAGCTACACCTTCCTCAAGTCGTGGAACTCCCTGTCTCCAAGTTCTGCCTCCCCACTGTAGTGTTCCATCCTTCCTCAGTGTGGCTGAAGGGCCTCAGAGGGAAAACAGTGATGCTCTAGAGAGAGCATGTGTTCCCCACATTAGGCAAACATGCCAAGCCGCAGGGGTGCCTG